TAGGTAGTAGATAGTAGGTAGTAGGTAGTAGGTAGTAGGTAGTAGGTAGTAGGTAGTAGGTAGTAGTAGTAGTAGTAGTAGTAGTAGTAGTAGTAGTAGTAGTGGTAGTAGTAGTAGTCGTAGAGTAGTCGTAGTAGTAGTAGTAGTAGTAGTAGTAGTAGTAGTAGTAGTAGTCGTAGTAGTAGTAGTAGTAGTAGTAGTAGTAGTAGTAGTAGTAGTAGTAGTAGTAGTAGTAGTAGTAGTAGTAGTAGTAGTAGTAGTAGTAGTAATAGTAGTAGTAGTACTAGTACTAGGAGGCGGAGGAGGAGGAGGAGGAGGTCCCCATCCTCCCGTCTCCCCCGTCGTACCTATGGTAGTGGTGGTGGGAAATCGGCCCCCCCGATCGCCGAGCGCGATGCGATGGTAGCGCCCTGCGCGCTTGCGGCTGGCCCCCCGCATCCCGCCAAGAAACGCGCATCAAAGGTGACTCTTACCCAGCGTCAATCCTTCGTGTATCCGCATGCTTAAGGGCCTCAGATCTCGCAGGCGATTTTCCTCGAAGCAGAAACAGCACGCCATAAACATTAACTCTTGGCGCTCCGCGCGGATTTCTTGGATCCGTGCTGGGTCCCCCCTGGCGGCGCCTCCGGCGCCGCCCCTGGCGCGCTCTGCGCGCCAGGGAGGGGGGTCCAGCGCAGATCCAAGAACTCCGCGCGGTTACCGACTACACGTAAGAGTGGCCCTTCGTCGGATTGACCTTGAGTGCGGGCCCACTGGGGTCCCCCCGATCGCCGTGCGCGATGCGATGGTAGCGTTCTGCGCGCTCGTGTCTGCCCCCCCCCCCGCGGCCCGCCAGAAAACGCGCATCAAAGGTGACTCTTACCCAGGGTCGCTCCAGGGCTTCAGATCTCGCAGGCGATTTTTCTTCCCATCCCCGAGTTCCGCCCGAAAAGTTTGGGCCGCTCAGAAAACTAGGGGGACACCCTGGGAAACATGTCAAGGGGGCTATTCGGACGCACCCCTGTCGAGGATGGACGCAGCCCCTTCGTATGTCCCAGGGTTGGGCTCAAAAATTCTGACAGTCGCCGTGGGGGACGCGGGTCCTGATGGAGACTGGTCTTGAGGTTCTGCGTTGTTCTCGGGTCCTCGGGGCCCTCCGCGGGCTTCAGGACTGTGAGAAAACGGGTGAGGACGAACAAGTCGTCCTGGGCTAACTCAGATCCTGGCGTTGGAATGCTTTCACAACTCGGGATTTTGCCTTGTTCCGGGCCCCAGGGCCGTCACACATCGATCTGTCGCGAAGAATAATGCAGAATGGCCGGATGGTGATGGGGGGATCAGGACATGGGGGGAAGAGTATCCGGTACCGTTCTGTTGGGGTACAATTTGTACCTTCTCTGCGGGTTGCAAGTACAAATTGTACCTTCTCCCCCCCGTTAACATCCTCGCACATGTCGCGGACGTGGTCAAAAGTACAATTTGTCCCTTGTCTGCGTGGCGTCGGTACAAGTTGTACCTTCTCCGTGGGGCGTAGGTACAATTTGTACCTCGGTTGCGCCTCTCTCCTCCCCTGGACTTATCCCCCCATTTGCATCCCGCCAAGACGATGGGGTCTGGGGCTTCTGGTCGTGATTTTTTTGCGATGCTTCAACATGCTCGCAACGTCGGATCTCGGTGGGGGGTTGTCGAGGTTTGAGGTTTTCAGGCGTTTTCGTTGGTTCGCTGCAGTCATCTGGCCTCGGGATGCCTTCCAGCAGATGCGCCTCGCTGGGAGCGTTCCGGGGGTGCCCGTATCGCCCCGAACGGCCGCCAGAGAGCCGAGTTACGACCCGAAAGCCAAGCGGCAACGACAGGGGGGCCCAGTGGTTCTTTTCTCCTCCCCTCCTCCTCCTCCTCCTCCTCCTCCTCCTCCTCCTCCTCCCTTCTCCTCCTCGTCCTCCTCTTTATCCTCCTCCTCCTCCTCCTCCTCCTCCTCCTGGAGGGTGTGTCGTAATCTGAGGCGTGGCTCGAGATTCGGTCAGGAGACGTGTAGCGCGTGCTTGTAGGCTTCCTGCGCCCGTCGCCCCAAGCAGTCTCAATGAACTTAGCATCGCGCAGCCACGCTTGTTCGATTTGCGTGTGTGCTTACGCCTGCTTCCCTGCTGCAGCGTGGAGTGCGCGTCGCTCGGGTCGTTCTTTCAGATTACGGCTGGGCTTCTTTGTGGCCGTTAGGCTTTGGTGCCTGCGTTCACGCTCGAAGCACTTGTGGTCCTGTCCGCGAGTACGAGGTGCCGCACTATGCATGACCCCCGCGCCTTCTGGTGATGCGCGAGCTCTCAGCAGGCTTTTCACTGGTGAGTCTAGCATGGCAGTGATCAGCTGCCGATTAAAAACTCCTCCTCTTCGTCCTCCTTCTTCGTTCCCTGGGGTAGAGGTGTGACGACGAGAGCGCGACGAGCGACGAGGCGCGTTTTTTCCGGCGCCGGCTCCCTTTATTCACCTCGCTCTCGCCCTCAAGGGCCTCTTGGGTCGCCATGATGAAGCAGACGGGCCCCCAGATCTCCGACAATGTGATACATCCCCAGGACGAAAGTTTTTTCCACTTGGGCCCGCACCGACGGTTCTACTTCTTGAACAGACGCGTATGGGATAACCGCCGTCGGATTCAATGAAGTTCGCGCAGATCCCATTTGGGCTTTGGTTTCTGTCTCGGTGGATCCCATCTCCGTCCGCACGGATCCGATTTCGGATTGTCTGGGTCTGCGTCCGTCCCATCTTTTTCCAACAGCGGATCCGATTCTGACCCCGATTGACATTTGTGTTCGTAAATGAAACGGGGAACGGGAGGAAGTCAGATCCGCGGTCCCCGGAACCCGCCCGTGCTCACGTTATACGAGGGAGGGGGATTCGGTCATCCACTTCTCAGGATGGGTCCTGCGCTGTCTTGCGTGCTCACCTCAACTTTCCGCGCGCGCGGGCCCCACTCAACATGGATACATGTCCAGACGCCGTCCGCTCGGCGGCGCCGATGTCATCTCGCGAGCCCATCATCGCCATTTCCACCCTAGGAGGAAGATTTGTCTCGTCCTGCGTAGGTATTCCTTGCGCTTTCCCCAGACTTCGGCCCCTGGGGCACGCCATCGGGCCCCAGGGCCGTCATCCGCTGACCCGGGGCGAAAAGCTGCCCCCGGCCGGGGGCAGGAGTGGGGAGCCCCGGGGCCGAGAGCTCACCTCGGAGGAACGCTTTCTTGCCGACGCCGGCTCCCTGTCTCCTCTCGCTCTCGCCCCCTCGGGCTTCTCAGATCGGCCGCCCTGGGGCAGCAGGCGGGCCCCGAGGGGAGCGGCTCCTGAGATGCTGTTGTCTGGAGCTTCCCGGGGGGCTCTGCCGGGGCCCTCCCCGCGCTCCAGGGCCGGCAAGCAGCGGCTCGGGATGACGAGCTGGTCCCGTGGAAGGCCCCCTGCGGGGTCCAGGACCCGATGCTGCCTCAGGATTCGTTTGTGCCTTCGTGCCAGGGGGGGGTCCTCCCTCGCCGCCGAGTGGCTGGGCTCGCGTCGGGGCCCCTGTCAGTACGCACCCCCGGGAGAGGTCCGACCAGGATCGAGGAGCAGGAGAGTTGCACAGGCAGAGCCTCTTGTCGTGCTTGGAGCTTTGGTCGCTTCTCTCCTCCTCCTCCTCCTCCTCCTCCTCCTCCTCCTCCCTCCCTCTCCTCCTCCTCCTCCTCCCCTCCTCCTCCTCCTCCTCCTCCTCCTCTCCTCCCCTCCTCCTCTCCTCTCCTCCTCCTCCTCCTCCTCCTCCTCCTCCTCCTCCTCCTCCTCCTCCCCTCCTCCTCCTCCTCCTCCTCCTCCTCCTCTCCTCCTACTCCTCCTCCTCCTCCTCCTCCTCCTCCTCCTCCTCCGCCCGACAAGCGTCCGCAAGGGGAGCTTTCGCTCCTCCTCCGCCTCCGCAGTCTGCCACACCTCGTGAACTCGGCTGCGCGCCCCGTGTCGCAGGCTCGGGGCTCTCAGGGCCTGCCTCCTCGAGGCGAGGTGCCGCTTTCTCCCGGCGGTGGCGGTGGTGGAAAAGAGCGCGTAGGTTTAAGTCGGGCCTGGAGGGTCCAGCGCCGATCCGAGAACTCCGCGCGGGCCTCCGAGTTTTTATGGTTATGCCACTTTTCGGCTCCCTACGAAAGGCGATGGCAATCTCAGGGATGCGCCCTCGAACACCGAGGGAATCCCTAAGATTGGCATCGTGATGGGGCGATGCCCGGCATAGGGATAGGGATAGGGAGATGTTCCAGGCTGGTAAGACGTGGCAGAACGTTTGAAACATCGCAGAACATCACGACCAGAGCCGCAGGCTTCAGTCGGACCTGTCCTTCTACAGGGGTATTCAAAAATAGTCGAAAAATATCCAGGGGGCGTTTTTTTGATTATTTGTAGGTATTTTTGGGGTATTTTTAATTTTTTTGGTTCCGAAATTCCCCTGTAGGCGGACACGCCCGACTGAACCCTGAGATCCGACGTGGCAGAACATCTGAAACATCGCAGAACATCACGACCAGAGCCGCAGGCCCCATCGCTCTATGCGAGGGCCCCGGGGCCCGAAACCAGGCCCCCCCCCATCTCGTCGTGAAGAAGAGCAGCGCCGGGATCTGAGGGGAGAGCGACTGCTTCGCGGCGCCCTTGCCGCGTCCCAGGAGAGGCTGAAGGCCGCCATGCGCTCCCTCAGGCACGAGGCCGCCCCGACCGTCGCGTCCTACGCGGCGGCGATGGAGGTCTGCACCAAGCGGGACCTCGCGCAGGTCGCGGTGGGGATCTTCGACCTGATGCTTGAGAGGGGGGTCGTCGAATCATAAGAAGACTCGAGGGAAGAAGTACGGGGACCATGACCAAGATGTCGCGGGATGTTGTCGATGCCGATCTTGGTCATGGTCCGTGTCGGCCGTCGCCGACTCGTGAGGACTACAGTCAACCCGCATAGTAAAAATGAGCAACTTTCCTTTCCTTCGGCCCATCCTTCTCCTTCGACCCATCCCTGGCCACTTTCGCTGGCCGCGCCCCGCTCGCAAAGGGTTGACATGGCCTTCCAAGGTCCTTACCACCTCACCGTGCATCCTCGTGACACGTGCTGTGCGGTCCTGATGGTTTTTCCGCGGATTGCCGCTGACCAGGATCGACACGACGCTTTCCCGTTCAGTCCTGATCATGGCCCCCGCCTTCTTCCCCTCCAGGGACGGCGCAAGCACCAGCTTCTGGAACTCCGCGCGGACCTCTCGGGTCGGCGCCGGGCCGGGGTCGGCGCCGGAGGCGCCGGGCTGGGGAGGCCCGGCGCTGCTCCGACGAGCGCTCCGCGCGGACCGCCGAAAGCGTATCCTCCGGCGTGCTTGCCCTCTCCCGAGGTCGGCCAGGACCAGCCGCTGATCGATCGGCGCGTCTCCGTCCCCTTCTTCAAGATCGTGGTGTTCGGGCGAGGGGAGATCACGGGCCTGCTCTCCTCCACCACCGCCATGAGTTGGGAGGGGGGAGGGGCGCCTCCTCCCCCTCGTCTTCTTCTCCCTCCTCCTCCTCCTCCTCCTCCTCCTCCTCCTCCTCCTCCTCCTCCTTCCCCCCTCCAACTTATGGTGGTGGTGCTGGTGGTGGTGGACAACAGGCCCATCAGGAAATCTCAGGGCTCCCCCCTCCGAGCCCGTGCGGCGTCGGAGCCTCCTCGGCCGCCGAGGGGCCTCGAGAGGGAGCCCCTTCGGCAGCCGGAGGGGCTCCGGTTCTCCCTCGACACGTCGTGGAGCTGAGCCCGGTCTGCTGCCCAGTCGGCGGGCTCAGCAAGGGGGGGCGGAGGAGGAGGAGGAGGAGGAGGAGGAGGAGGAGGAGGAGGAGGAGGAGGAGGAGGAGGAGGAGGAATAATAATAATAGCAATAAGCAGAGTGAGGGGGCCGAGTTGTCATTCAGTGTCCCTGCGCGCGTGGCTGAATAAGGAATTCGTGGTCAGGATTATGCTGATTGTTGTTGTTGTTGTTGTGGTTGTTGTTGTTTTTGTTGTTGTCGTTGTTGTTGTTGTTGCTGCTGCTGTTGTTGTTGGTGTTGTTGTTGTTACCGTTGTTGTTGTTATATTGTTGTTACTGTTGTTGTTGTTGTTGTTGTTAATATGATTGTTGTTGTTGTTGATTATGTTGTTGATGTTGTTGTTGTTGTTGTTGTTGTTGTTGTTGTTGTTGTTGTTGTTGTTGAACACTATTACTTCTAAAGAATTATTATTGTTGGACCCCCTGGTGCACGCCCCCCGCCCAAAACCTAGGCCGCAGCTACATTTTCATCATTTTTCTGCGAAAGCTTCAGAAAAGTGGATTACCCCCGGATCCGGTTTTTTGTTGACGCTCGTTTTCCCTTGCAAAAAACAATAGAAAATGAAAATTCTTGTTCTTAGTTGATCAAATTTCAAGAATCCCTTGCAAAAAATAAGGTAAAGTGGACATTCGCGCTCGCAAGACGAAATCCTTCCAAAACCTTAGGTTTCGTAGCGATTTTAACATAAAAACATCAAAAACCCAATGGTTTTTTAAGAAAAAATTGTCAAAATGTCCTTCCGCGCGCTCTTGCGGATTCATAGGAAACACACCACTTTTTAAACATTTCTGTCAAAAGGGTCTTTGCGTGCTACTTCTTCAGGTGCTTTGAACTTCTCCAACAACGGTTGCGCGCCTGCGAGGGCCACCATCCCTTGCAAAAAATGAGACGAAGTGCACATGCGCGCGGCCGCCGCGCGCGCATGTCGAAATCCTGCCAAACACAATGGGTTTTCAATAATTTCAGTGGCCAAACACCATCCCGGGCCAGTGGGTGTATCGCAGTATGCGGTATTTGCTCGGTCAGCTCGCTATTCCCATTCATGCGGAGATCGTATCCGGCCTCTCCTACAGGGCCCTGGCCACCTTGGACGTATTCATTGCGTACCACGCGGCCTTCATGGGTACGGACCCGCAGAAAATGGCCCTTTGGAACGTATCCCCTGAGGTCGGCACAGAGATCACGTATCCGCGTCAAGACCAGTGGTGGTGGTTGCCCGTATGGCGGTCGTATGGTCAGAGCGACGAGCTTCCGAACATGCTCGATTACCAGGCCTTGCCACCGCAGGTCCACAACGTGCTCGCGGTAGCACTGCCGTATGCAAGCACCGGCCTTCCCGCCAGCAGGCGTATCGGCAATCTCATTGGGCATCTGGGACCGCACGGGTATCAGCCAGGCCCGCACGTGTATCAGCCAGGCAGCCGGGCACCCACGCGCCCGCTCCGCGCCATCGCAGACGACGATGCGTCGCGCCTTTAGTATGCTTCTGGATGCGAAGACCATTCGGTTGAGTATACCCCTACGTGTGACTGGACCTGTTTGCGAAAGCAGGAGAAAGTATGGCACCCCTTTGTGTCCAGAGCCGCGCCGTCTGCGTTCTTCCTTTCTCGCTTCTCTCCTTTCCTCCTTGTCCTGCTCCTCCTCCCCCTCTTCCGCCTTGGAGCCGTATTGGAACTGTCGATGGCCATCTCCCTTTCTCCCTCGCATGTCTGCTTGTACATACGTATAATTTCAGAACTTACCGTGCATGCGATCGTTTACAACATGGTGGACCGTGCGTATGTCACGAACCTTGTATACATGTGTTTCTCTCCCTCCGTCTGGCTGTGCACGCGCGCGTTGGGCACTGAGAGTTAGGATCATAGCGCCATGAGTCTATGAGCAATGCATGCGTCATCCTTGGGACTGTATAACATCAGTGTAACACATGTACTTCTGTAATCGCATCCCCACGAATTTGCCCCAAAAATGTGACCAACTATCTTGGCACTGCGTACCATCTCACGTGTACCGTGTACCACATCATATGTAACAGATGTGATCAACCTCTGTGGGTGTGTACCCCACGCCAGTGTAGTAGCCAGGGTCGTCCGCACGCCACGAAGTGAAGTGTCCCAACGTCATAGGGCGGGAAGCTGGGTGTGGGTGGTCTCGAAGAGTCGTTTGGATATTTGGTAGAGCTTGAACGGCCCCCCCACGAAGTGGGGGTATTGGCTGGTGTCGCAAGAAAACCCTGGCACTGGGGAGAACACTGAGCGTTCGGGTAAAATGATTGTTGTTGTTGTTGTTGTTGTTGTTGTTGTTGTTGTTGTTGTTGCTGCTGCTGCTGTTGTTGTTATTGTTGTTGTTGTTGTTGTTGTTGTTGTTTGCTGTTGTTGTTGTTGTTGTTGAACTCTCATTCTTGAAGAACAATTATTGTTGATCCCCCCCCCACCGGTGCACATTGATTTTTTTAATTGAAGTGCCCCCCCCCGGTGCTCGCACTTTGTTTTTTGTCAAGGAAAGTCTTCCTGCTCAAACTGGGCCCCTGCCCCCCAGACTACAACAGCAACGGCTCCCGCCTGAGACTTCCGCACAATTTAGCCAGGACCCCCGCTCCCGCCCGAGACTTCCTCGCATTTTATTCAGGAATCGCGCTCTCGCTTGGGACTTTCTTACAATTTAGATAGGAATCGCTCTCCAGGCGCTCTGGAGTCGCGCTCTCGCTGGAGACTTGCTTTCAATTTACTGAAAAATAGCGCCGTTGCGTTGGGATTTTTTGGTGCAATTTGCTCAAGCGCCGCGCTCCCGACACCCAGGCACCCAGGAGTCGCGCCCGTTGTGGCCCCATGTGCATGCCCTTCATGGCCCCCCTGTCGCCGTTTGTGGCGCCCTCATTGTCCCGCGCGGCCCAGTTGCTACCTTCAGTGGCCCCATCGTTGCCTTCTGTGGCCCCGCTTTATCTGCCCTTCGTGGCCCCCGCTCGTTCGCGCTCTTCGTGGCCCCATATGCATTCCCTTCGTGTCCCCGCTGTCGTCCTTCGTGGCCCACTTCGTGTCCTTCGTGGCCCTGCTGTCGTTCTCTCTCGCTCTCGCTTTCGCTCGTCGACGCCGTCGTCGTCGTCGTCGCCGTCGTTGTCGACGTCGTCGTCGTCGTCGTCGTCGTCGTGGTCGGTCCCCTGTCCGTCCCTCTTGGGGTCGGGTCGACGGTCTGCGGCCGCCCCGCCGATCGGCGCTGCCTCTGGCCAGGCCGACGGTCCGCGGCCGCCCCGCCTCTTGCTTGGGCCCGGCCTGCAGGGAAGAAAGGTATACCCCCCAAAAAGGGTTCGATCGAAGACGAAGAGGGCGGGTATCGAGGGTTTGGGAAACACGCGTTATTGGACACTCGAGCAGATAAGGGCGAACAGTCGTAAAATGATTGTTGTTGTTGTTGTTGTTGTTGTTGTTGTTGTTGTTGTTGTTGTTGTTGTTGTTGTTGTTTGTGTTTGTTGTCGTCGTCCTACCCGCGACCCACCTGCGACCCACCCCGCGACCCACCCCGCGACCCATCCGCGACCCTCCCGCGACCCACCCGCGACCCACCCCGCGACCCACCCGCGATTTCCCCGCGACCCACCCTCAAGGGAGGAAAAACCACCCGGACCCGTCAATTGACGTTTACCAAACGGCCTTGGGCGTTGACTAAACAGCCCTGCCTTGTTCGATTCATTCCTTGTGCGTTTACTAAACGGCTTCGCTTGTCAGGGTGATTATTATGGGGTGAATTTTCTGCCCTCTACACCCGCGACCCAACAGCGACCCACCCGCGACCCACCCGCGACCCATTTGCGACCCACCCGCGATCTACCCACATTGGTTTATCGAAGCAATCGGCACCTGCGGCGGGCTCGTTGTATAATTTGTGAAACGTTGGCGCCTGCGGCGGGCTTCTCCAGAGTCTCGCAAAATGCCGACGACCCCACCGCCCGCTCACTCTTATCCGCATCTGCGCGGTGCTACGTAGTAATGATAAGAAGTAGTGCTAGTAATATTAATAACACTAATAATGCCATTGATTCTATTAGTATTGATAATACAAGAAGTAATCTTAAGATTAATAAGGATAATACTAGTCAGACTACTGACAGTAATGCTAGTAATAATATTCGGGCGAACAGTAAGAAGAAAAGGAGGATAATAGGAGGATGAGGAGGAGAAGGGGGAGGAGGATGAGGAGGAGGAGAAGGAGGAGGAGGAGGAGGAGGAGGGGGAGGAGGAGGAGGAGGGGTAGGAGGAGGAGGAGGAGGAGGAGGAGGAGGAGGAGGAGGAGGAGGAGGAGGAGGAGGAGGAGGAGGAAGGGGAAGGATGCACATGCACCATCCCTGCCCAGGCCCATCCTGGGCGCTCAGGCTCGGCGCACGTGCCTCTCTGGCCGAGCCAAGCCTGGAGGGCCTTATGCACCGCTCCTGGGCTCCCAGGCTTGTCCTGGCAAGGACCGGTGTACAGTACAGTCAACTCACATAGTGTTAAGTCGGGCCTGTCCCACTACAGGAGGAATATTCAGAAATAGTCAAAACATAGCCTGGGGACGTTTTTTGAATTTTCTCAGCTATTTTTGAATATTCGTTGATTGTTTTGTATTTGTCGTCCAAAATTCGCCTGTAGCCGGAAATGCCCGATCTAAACATAGTGAGGATGGGCAACCTTCTCAGGGGCACCCTTGCATCCTTGCCTCCTCGGCCCATCCTTGATCGCTTTAGCTGGCCGCGCCCCGCTTCTAAAGTGTCGACATGGCCTTCCAAGGGCCTTGGCATCCTTACCGCGCATCCTTGCTACACGGGCTGACCGTAGGCAGATTAATAACTTAGAACTTGGCCCGCCAGCAGGTGTCCCGCGAAAATGTCAGATCCCCCGGTGGCCACAGGGGCCCACCACGGAAGCCCTGGGGAACCATACGATCGTCGAAGATCGATGAAGAATGTGCCACAAGATTTTTCCCCCATATCCAAAGTGGGTTTCCTTTTCAATCTGCGCACCCTCGCGCAGGCTCTCCTTTCCTCCCCACTTTCTTCCTCACCATGACCATCACCAGCATCCCCACCTTGACCCTCACACCATCGTCACCAATCATTATCATCACCATCGCACACACACGCACACTCGTACACTCAATCACACACCCTCTCATGTGTGTGTGTGAGTGGAACACACATCCTCATCACCATCATCATCATCACATTCATTATCTCTGCCATGATCACTTTCACCATCACCACTACCACAATCATCATAATCATACTATCACCATGGTCATTACCACTTTCCATTATCATATTCACTCTCGCATCATCGTCGTCCTCATCAACATAGCATCATCAGCACACTCATCATCTTTATTATCATCATTACCACCATAAGCATCAGCATCATCACCATCATCATCATCATCGCCACCACCATCACCACCATCACAACCATCATCATCACCATCCTCATTACCATCGTCATCATCTTCATCACCATCACCATCACCATCACCACCATCACCATCATCATCATCATCATCATCATTATTATCATCATTATCATCATCATCATCATCATCATAATCATGACCATCATCATCACCATCATCATCATCACAACCATCAACATCATCATCACCATCATCATCATCATCATCACCATCGTCATCACCATCCTCAGCACCATCATTATCATTCTTAGTATCGCCATCATCATCAGTACCATCACCATTCCCCCACCATCACCACCATCACCACCACCCTCGTCATCATCATCATCATCATCATCATCATCATCATCATCATTATCATCATCATCATGATCTTCAGCACCATGATGATGATCATCATCATCATCATCATCATCATCATCACCATCACCATCACGCTCACACATGCACTGATCTTAGGAAGTCTCAGGCGGGAGCCTCGTCTGTGAGTGAATGGGCAGGAAGTCTCAGGCAGGAGCCCTCTTCCTATGGGGCCCGCCAGCTTCTTATACTAATCCGAGCGGGCCATCGGAATATTATTTTGGGCTCCTTACTCTTGAGTGTGGGGGCAGTCGCGAGCGGGAGCCTCGTTTGTGAGTGAATCGCGAGGAAGTCTCAGGCTGGAGCCCCCTCCCCTTGAGGCTCGCAGCTCATGTTAGTAATCCGAGCGGGCCATCTGACTCCTGCAACTGTCGTCACCTTTGGGCTCCTCAGGCTTGAATGTGGCGGAAGTCTCTGGCGGGGGCCTTGTCTCAGGTGGGAGGCCCCTCTCTATGGGGCCCGCAGCTTACGTCATTCATTCGAGCGGGTCTTCGGAATCTTATAACTGTCGTCACTTTTAGGTTCCTTAGTCTTGAATGTGGCGGAAGTCTCGAGCGGGAGCCTCGTTTGTGAGTGGACGGCGGGGAAGTCTCAGGAGGGGAGTCCCTCCTCTCCATGGGGCCCGCAGCTTATGTTATTAATCCGAGCGGGTCATCGGAGTCATGTACCTGTCGTGAAAGCATCCCCTCGGAGAGCCGGGTATGCACCGATTCTGGGCTCAGGATGGCCCTGGCCTCGACTGGTGTATTTTCACAGCTCGCTCCTGGGACGCAACTCCTGGGAGGGTAAATTGTGAATCGACGCTGACATATCCCTGGTCTGGTCGAATCTGGCCAATCCCTTTGAGTCTGGTTTCTCCCCGCTAAATCTGGCTTAGTCCCGCTCGATTCGGCTCAATTCCGGGCCTAACCTGGCCCAATCTGGCTCAGTGGCCCTTGAATCGGGCTTGATAGCCCCTCATCGTTTTGACGAAGACCTCCCAAGAGCTGCCTCCCAATCAGGGCTCTAGCTGAGTGGTGCCCTGGCGACTTCGTGGGCCGTTTTCGTTTTGACTTCTTCTCTCAGCAGGGAAAGAACTACGACAGAACGAGGGACAGCGACAACAAAACGCATGCGAAGCATGCTGTCTAGCTCGAGCCCTGCTTCTACCCATCGGTCGTCGAAAGTGGGTATCTGTGGTGTCCCTGCTTCCAATCTGCTTTTGGGCGCCTTCCTGCGTCAGATCATCGAGCGGCTTCCCCTTGTCCGTCCTCCTTGGGGGGCGGGCGGACACCCAATCTGCTTCCAACGCCTTCCAGGTGACTCCTGCTCCTCCTCCTCCTCCTCCTCCTCCTCCTCCTCCTCCTCCTCCTCCTCCTCCTCCTCCTCCCCCTCCTCTTCCTCCCTCCTCCTCCTCCTCCTTCTCCTCCTCCTTCTCCTCCTCCTCCACAATTACTCAATATGAGTCTTCCGACCGACGGGCAGTCTCCTGCCCTCCAGGTGCACAACCTCGGGGACGAGCGCCTGCGGCAGGACGGCCTCCGTCTCCTCGACCTGGTCCGGGCGCACGGGCTCTCCCCCGCGGTCGGCGCCCAGGACTACCTGATCGTCGCCTGGAGGAGCTCGGGGGCGACGCCAGGAGGAGGGGGTGGGGGAGGACAGGCTCAGGGGCCACGCACGGGCACGACCTTTTTTTCCACCGCCGCTGCCACGTGTAGGACGGGGGGGAAGGGAGGATGAGGAGGTCCTCCTCCTCCTCCTCCTCCTCCTCCTCCACCTCCTCCACCACCACCACCTCCTCCTCCTCCTCCTCCTCCTCCTCCTCCTCCTCCTCCTACCTATGGTAGTGGGCCCATCAGCAGCGTTCGAGATTTGGAAGCGATTCCCAGTGGCCCAGCACATCGGGCCACCCGTGGTCGCCATCTCGGGATGTGGGCGACGAGGTGAAGGAGGAAGCGCAGGACGTTGGCCTTCCCTGCCCTTTTTGGGGGCGGCCAAGAGGGGGGCGATGCCTAAGGGTGTGTGGAAATCACGGCGGGGGCCATGATCTCTCCCCAGATCTCTTGGATATCTCTCCAGATTTCATGGCGCCTCTGCCTACTTCAATACGTCCCCGACCCCCCCCCCGGGGCCGCGCACATGCCGCCGGCCATGCTTTGCGCCCTCCCCCCTCTCGGGCGCCCCCCTCTTGGCCGGCCCTGGCCTTCCCAGACGCCTGCGCTCGAGAGGCTCGGGCTTCGGCCCTCCCTTCCCTGCCGCCATCCTTCACTCGCGTTGGCTTGATGCTCCTGTCGCCACGGCTGGATTCGTTCGCCTGGACACTCTGGTCAGAACGCGCCCCAGAAGAGAGGTCCGGTGCGTAGCGGTATCGGTGCTTCCTCCCCCGTCAGGTTCGAGGTTTACGTCGAGGTGCAACGGTAGGGGGGAGCCTTGAGGTTCCAGGATCGAGGTTCGCTTCCTGGGCGTTTTTCATTGTCCTGGGGCGCCCTCGTGGCCACGGTTGGATCCACCTCGAGATTCCGACCGGAACGCACCCCAGGAGAGGCCCAGGGATCGATTTTTGCTGGCCCCGGGGCAGTGGCAACGTTCAAGGGGGATAGGCTCGGCTTTGAGGTTTGACGTCTTCGGGCGTTTTCGTCGGCCCTCGGTGGCCTTCAGCCTCGGGGTGCGTCCCAGCAGCCGCGCCTCGCCGAGGGCGCTCCGGGGGTGCCTGGATCGTCCGAGCGGCCGCGAGAGAGCCGATCTGTGACCCGGAAGCCAAGGGTCGCGCCGCCAGTTCTGGCCCGCCGCGCTCTGGCGCGGCACGCTGTCTGCGTCCCCGTCACCAAAGCGTCAGCGTCCCGAGCTTTTCATGGCCTCCCGCCCCACGGATTGGAGTGACACGCCATCCGCTTGCACGGCGTAGCTTCTCGCCAGGGCTGCCGCCGCGGCACGCTGAGCCGAGGTTCCCGTCCGTGGTGGGACTTGGCTCAGGGGAAGATGCATTGACCCCCAATCGCCCAATGATTGCCGGTGGGAGCCCGATAGCCCACCCCGCCCATGAACGTGGGGCTTCGCTACTGGGGGCGTATCGCCAGTCTGTCGGCGATGTGTCGCTGATGCCAGGTCGATGCTTCCTCCCAGAGCCGGTCCCTTCCGAACCTTCCCCCTCAAAGGAGCAAGCTCCCCAAGCACGTCGTGGAATACTTCGTGAAGATGAGGGAGGAGCCGATGAAGAAAGACCTGCGCAAACGTGAGCTGTTGGAGGTCGTCGCGGATCTCTTGGGCTGGCGCTGGGCCCCCGGCGCGCTCCGCGCGCCCGGGAGGGCGGCCGGGCGCCATTCCCCGGGAAGTCCGTGCGGACCCCCGAAGGTCCATGCCCATGTCGTCCCTTCGCTTCTCCCGAGGAGGGCGTCGTGCTCAGCTGGACGGCGGTCCGGTGTGTGATGTCCTTCTACCAGTGGTCCGACCCGGCCTTTACGCTGGTGCTCTACGGCGAGCTGACAGAGCGGGGTGTGAGGCCCGACCGCGTGCACTTCAACGCGGCGCTCACCGCCTACTGCGAGCTCGGCAAGACGGATCAGGCAGCACAGCAAATAGCACGTGGGTGGTTTGTCTGGTTGTTGCGCGCTGTCTTTTTTCTCTCGTCGCCGTCGTCGTCGTCGTCGTCGTCGTCGTCGTCGTCGTCGTCGTCGTCGTCGTCGTGCTCCTCCTCCTCCTCCTCCTCCTCCTCCTCCTCCTCCTCCTCCTCCTCCTCCCCCTGGCACTGATACGTTGTATGGATTAACTCGTATCGGCAAAAGTTCTGCTCCAGGCACCCGCGCTGAGCAGAGTGACGAGTGGATCGGCAATATTCTTGTTGCGCCCTCTCCTTTCGCCTCCTCCCCCCCCCCCTCTCCAGACATAGCGCTGGGAAAACACAACACATAGCGCTGGGAAAACACAGCACAACAAACACAGCAGGAGCAAACTATGATCAACACCAGCACAACACACACTCACAGCAAAACAAGTTGGGCGCTCCAGAGGGGGCCTCGCTTTCGAGGAGCGGGGAAGTTGGCACCCCTTCCTCGGCGGAGGACGGCGGAAGGCTGGCGGAAGGCCTGCGGAAGGCGGCGGGAGTAGAGGATGCACCCCCAGGAGATGACGCCAACTTTGGGTTCAGGGCTTCGAAGAGCCTTCCTCGGCGAAGGACGGCGGAAGGCTGGCGGAAGGCCGGCGGAAGGCGGCGGGAGTAGAGGATGCACCCCCAGGAGATGACGCCAACTTTGGGTTCAGGGCTTCGAAGAGTAATCAGATGCAAGCACGGCGCTCAGAAACAGCCATATGTAGAGCAGTTGGACCAGGCAATGCAGCTGCTCCAGGACGGGCCCAGCCTGCAGGTGGAGCCCAACGCCCAGACCTACCAGATAGTGATCAGGTCCTTGACCAGCAGGGGCAGTGACGAGGAGGCGCTGGCCCTCTTCGAGGCGATGCGGGAGCACCAGATCACCCCGTACCGCGCCACCAACCAGGACGCGGTGCTCTGCTACGTCAGGCGCAAGAGGTACGCGGATGCCGCCGCGCTGTGCAGCGGGATGGCGCCAGGGAGCCAGCGCCCCGGCGAGGACGCGTGCAGCTTCCTCCGGAGGTCGTGCCAGAGGTACGCCTGGACCGACATCGCGGCCCACGTCCCCGAGGACCCCCAGCAGGTGAGGAGGTGGAGCCCGGTCCGAGCGTGAGGCGCCCCGCGGCAGCGGCAGGCGCAGAGTCCGGGGGGACCTTGTGGCGAGTTGCGCACCAGGCCGACTTGCCTTGTCTCGGGCTCCAGCGACGCCTCCTCCTCCTCGTCCTCGTCCTCGCCCTCGTCCCCCTCGTCCCCCTCGTCGCCCTCGACCTCGTCGCCATCGCCGCCGCCGCCGCCGTCGGCGTCGGCGTCGTCGTCCGCCTCCTCGTCGTGGAGGAGGGCCCCTGCTTCCTCTCGTCGTGAGGAAGTCGCGGCCTTTTGCCCGTCGTCGGCCTGCGGGGGAGCCTCGCCCAGGCCCCAGGGCCGCCGAAAGAGCGGCTCGGGACGAGAGGTCGAGCCCTGGGGGGAAGGCTCAGGAGCCAGCGTTGCGAAGAGCGTCACGACGTCGGAGGTCTGGGGAGGCACCGAGCCACTCGGGAGAGTCCATCGAAGGACCAGCGGGCCCTGGACGAGACAGAGGAGCCGCGCACCCCTGGGGTGCGCCCGCCTGCTTGGTGCTGTCCGCTGGAGAGTGGGGGGATCAGGGGCAACTTTGGGGGGGGGGATAGGCTCAGGCTCGAGGTTTTCGAGACTCTCGGACGCTTTCCTTGGCCCTCGGCGGTCTTCCAGCCTCGGGGCGCTCTCCGGCAGCGGCGCCTCGCCGAGAGCCTTCGGGGGGCACCCTGCTGGTCCCGAGCGGCCGGGGGCCGAGCTGTGGCCTGGAAGCCGAGGGGCAACCTCCGGGACGGACGGGCTCGGGGTGGGGAGTGGACAGCAGCGATTCCCAGTGGCCCGCTGGTCGCAGATGTGGGGCCGGAAAGCCCACCCCGCCCAGTGAAGGTGCGGCTTCGCTATCGGGGGCGTATCGCCGATCTATCGGCCACGGGTCGCCGCTTCCAGGTCGCTGCTTCTCCTCCCCGAGTCGGTCCTTCCCCTGTCGTCCTCCCTCAGGGTATGGGGGCCGGTAACTTTGCGAGTCGTGACGGTAGAGGGGCGTGACGGGCCCGGCCACGGGCGTTCTGGTGGGGGCGTTCGTTAAGGAATGCGCCCAGGAAGCTTCGGACCCTGGAGGATTCCTTATCTGATGAGGGCGGTTGTGACATCCATGGCCGATCCGCGATTGGCTTTCCACTGGCTTCCAGACCCTGGATTCCTTGTCGAAGGTTTCCTTATCCAATGCCATCATCGTATCGCGACTCGTTCAGACATGAGCTTCAGCTGGGGCGGAGGAGGATGGGCGTGTTTTCCACCACCACCGCCATGACTTGGAGGGGGTAAGGAGGTGGAGGATGAGGTGGAGGAAGAAGAGGAGGAGCAGGAGGACCCCCTTCCCCCTCCTACTTCTGGTGGTGGCGTTGGAAAGCAAGCCCACCAGAGGAAGAGGAGGAGGCAACGGCCCCGCGAGTTTGAAGGGCCCCGCGCTGCCGGGGGATGTCTCCCGGTCGCTGTCCTTGCTCGGCGGGTGGCTTGCGCAAGTGCTCTCCGCGGAGGAGGAGGGAGAGAGGGAGGCGGAGGAGCGAGCGGGAGCAGGGAGAAGAGGAGGAGGGCATGAGGCGATTCCTCGATCAGCGGCAGAAGGGATGCGGGAGGAGGGAGCAGGGGAAGGAGGAGGAGGAGGAGGAGGAGGAGGAGGAGGAGGAGGAGGAGGAGGAGGAGGAGGAGGAAAAGGGGGAGGAGGATTCGGACTCGGATTCGGAACTATTGCGAAGCAAATCTTGACGCTTCGCGTATCCCCATCAGTACCCCGGGCCATTCGACGCAGGCGCCGGACTCGATGCGATGGGTGCCGCTGGCTCCTTCAACTCAGCGGTGGAGTTCGAGGGCTGCGCGCTGAGTGGTTCAGCCTTCCGCGTCTTTTGCCTCTTGTTTTCCACCGCCGGCAGCCCGGTTCCCCGGGTTCGTGCTTCGTAGCTAGCCGGACTGGCTGCTTGGAGTTTGGCGCCGCACGAGAGACTCACTCCGTTGCACTCGCACCCGCGGCCGCTTGTACACTGTGGTATACTGGGCGGCGCTTAGGTGCGTATGCTGGTGAATGCTGGGCATTTTGTTCAGTGCATGTGCAACTGCCCGCTTGTTGTGCATGTGCGATCTGGCCTGCCAGCGGGGCGGTTGGGGTCGCCAATTCGCTTTGTGCCGCCCGCCCCAGACATTGCCTCTCGCCGCCAGACCGTTGTCGCGCGGCCGCAGACCCCAAAAAAGTATCCCCATCAGCTTCGCCCGTAGCCCGGGACGACTCCAGACGCCGCCTGCGCCTTCGCTTGCGACCGCGAAAAAAATAATCCCCACCAGCCCCGTAGCACGCTCGGCGTTCGACCCGTTTCGCGCGCCCGCTAACCAAAAAGTATCCCCACCAACCCATCCAGAAAAAGATCGCCAGGCGAGTTGCCTTGATCAGGTAAATGTAGAAGAGTGCAGTGTGACAGCTGCCTTGGACGCGTTTTCTTGGATGTTTCTTGGAGTCTTCGCGGAGCCTCTTGGGGCACTCTTGAGGCCCTCTTGGGGCTCTCTTGGGGCCTTCTTGGGGCCCTCTTAGGGGCTCAGTGGGGGTCTGGGAGGCCTCGTGGGGCCATCTTGGCCCCCATGATTCTAAAAGAGGGGAGGTAAATTCAGGTCCCCCACCTGGTAGGCTCGAACATGGCGTCCGGAGACCCTCTTGGGGCGCTCTTGTGGCGCTCCTGGGCGCTCTTAGGACTGTGTTGGGGATTTCTGAGGCCCCTCTTGGGGCTCTCGTGGGACCATCTGGAGAAGTAAACAGGCGAGAAGGCATACAATATTCATTTTCCTTAAGTTTTGGGAGCCATTTTGGCCTCTTGGGGGGGTCCTTGGGGGGCGCGGATGGCACTTGGAACTGTCTTGGGATCGTCTTGAGGCCTCTTGGATGTGAGTCGGAGGCTATCTTGAACCACCTTGAGCAATCTTGGACGCCACCTTGCGCTCTCAGAGGCCCTCTTGAGGCCATCTTGGGCCATCTAGGACGCTCTAACCCCTCGCGGGGCGCCCCTTCTAGGCTCAGGGAAGGGGGTAGGGCAAGCTAGGTCTGCTCGCTCCATAATGACGTCCTACCCCTCCCTCCCATCCCTTACCACGGCGTAGACTTCATCTCTATTCGCACAGTCGGATGTCGAGCAGAGCAATGATCCCAAGAGGGTGCGCGATGCATCGTAGAGTACGGCATTGCAGGGCGTAGAAGAGCACGGCAGAGTGTAGTATGTCATATCATGGCGTGGCGTTGCGTAGTGAAGAGTTGAATCACGAAGCATTGCAACGCAAATAATGGCATCGCACACCGGGACAAAACAGAACGTGGCATAACATGGCGTTGACTATCATAGCGTAGCATGGCATAGCATGGCGTGCCACTGCGTAGTCAATCGCTGCATATCCTAACATTGCAGCTGAAGGCATGGCATCGCACATCGGAACATCACATAGCATTGCATGGCATGCCGTGGCATGGTACTGGAATTAATGACGCCAGTGCTGCAGCGGGGGCACGATTCGGAAAGAGCGGAAACGCGGAAATGAGGCCAGCGCTGCAGCGGGAGCACGATACGAAACGAACGGAAGCGCGGAAATGAGGCCAGCGCTGCAGCGGGAACACAGTTCGGAACGAGCGGAAGCCCGAAAAGAAGGCCAGCGTTTCAGCGGGAGCAGCATTCAAAAACATGCAAGCGAAAACCCAACTCCCTGGAATCCTGTGTTTTAGAGAACAGTACGCGGGGGGAGGTTGAACATCTTCCGGACGTCATCAGCGGAGAGAGGAGAGTTAGTATTCATATTGTGTGATTGTGGATGGGGTCAAGACACCCTTAGATAGCAAGCCATCTAGCTCACTCCAACACATAACTAAATCCCGAGCCTGAACATGTTCAGAGGTCGTTTTTGGATGGACAGCCTCTGGGAACCAAAACCGACCCCATGCGCGCGAGGCTGGGGCGAGGTGCGCCACGCGTGCCAGGCGCCCCACGTGCTCCAGGCACCCCTGGGGCCCGAGCGTGCTAGGCACGCCTGGTGCGCCAGATGCGCCACGTGCTCCGCGTGCGCCAGGTGTGCCGCATACTCCAGCCGCGCCAGGTGCGCCACGTTCGGGGCACGTGCAGAGTGTGTCAGGTGCGCCAGCGCACGTGACAGCACAAAACGGGAAACATGTCGGCCCCCACCATCCTTGTCGAAAACCAATGCCCATCATTGTGTTTGGTGCGCCTGCGCACAGTAGGCCATGCGCCTCCCCCCGCCGTCACTGTCAAAAACCACTTGACAGTGATCGCGGGGTGGCCGCGGATGATCCAGATTTAGCCGCGAGGTGCATTTTGTTTAATTTGTTGTTAGGGATGGTAGCCCTGCGCGCAGCAGTCAATATGCTGACACCCCGGCCGTCCTTGTCAAAAGCAATACAAAGTGTTCGGGGTTCTCACGAACATGATTCAAGACAGTGCTCGAGGTTGGCCGGCCATGCTCCAAATGTGGAGGCAAAGTGCGTTTTGCAGTATTTGTAGACAGGGATGGTAGGGGGGTGAGCATGGTGTCACCATTGTTCCTGGTTGGCTGCCGGTCGCCTGGGGGAGGGGGTGTATATTAATAGGGAACAGTGATAAACCTCTCCCCCAGGCAGGGGAACGAGGCAGCTTTAGCAGAGAGAAGACAACATTCGTTAAAACCCCTACGCCTAAAGAGCTGGTGAGATATCAATATCGAGCATTCGACGCTCCCCTGACTTTGAAGACGCACAGGATGACAAGGAAGACGCTCCCGAACAGGAGGAACAACTTCACGAATATAGCATGCCACCGCTGTGAAATCCGACGCACTCACTGGTAGCCAAGCAATGATTGTCGCCAGGCGATAGGAACGTGACACATCGCAACCCACCATTTTGTAAAATAAACCTGAAGAAAGTCCTTCACCTTATTGGTGAAACGGCTGACCTCAAGTACCTTGGCACTTTCCGCACGGGAAGTTGACCATCTGCATGTGATGGTTAATTCAGTGAAGCAAAACTCACCGTCTGTCTAGGTGAATCGCCGTACTATCCCACTAGTGCCGCCTAATCTGCCCACGCACAGCAAAACTGCATTCGTCATTCAAGCCCACGGTTGGAGAACTCTTGAATTCGTACACATTGAAGCCCATATTTGAGATGCCGACGAGAGACCCAGCATCCAACGCTGTGCGCGCCCGAAAACGCCTCCAGTCAACACCGCCCGCAACTTACAGAGTAAATTACCCCCCCCCTGCGTTGATGGGAGAATGCGGCACTGTAATTGATGGCAACCCTGAGAAGCGCCCTGGAATATGCTACCAAACCACCCGGCAACATGATGAGGGACAAAAGGAATTTGCCCGTGCAACTGTGCAAGACAACTGCCCTGAAGTGGATGCCGCCTGCACGCAAAACACCATCATGACAGGGAGATGCCCCAGCAGCCTGCGGCTTGATTGATGCAGTATCCGGGTAACGCTTCCGATCAGATGCCATGATTGACCCGCCCCAGTGTGGCCAAACTCTTGGACAATAGGCAAATTGTCAAACCACTGCAGGACGCTTCAGCCAACCTTTCGCAAACGTAAGAAAACATTCGCTGTGGGTGCCACAAGCACGGCTTGACGAGCTGCCGAGGCGCGACATCGAGGCAGGTTGGAGCCAAAAGAATGGCTGTGGACCTGCCTCGAGCCGCATGTGCTTGAGGAGGGGGAGGAGGAGGAGGGGGAGGAGGGGGAGGAGGAGGAGGAGGAGGGGGACGAGGAGGGGAAGGGGGAGGAGGATCGGCAGGAGGAGGACCGTGTGCTTTCTGCAGGGTAGGTGGAAGTAGGACCGAACATCTAGCGCGATTCTGTATAGATGGCCAGGCCCGCCCAACGTCATTGAAGCTTCGCAAGCCGGGGGGGCGGTCAAAGCAGGCTTTGGAGAAGAATGTTTTAGTGCCACTTCCTTTCCGTGTGGACGCATCTTTGACACGAACGAAGTGGCGCAGGACGGCGGGTGCGAGGACGCCTTCATTGGCCATATTCGGTACCCCTCGCCCTCCGATCCCAGGTCAGAGGGGCTGCAGTTCGCCTTCGAGCACTTCGTGGTCGTGTCGCCAGTCTGCACGTGGGACTGGAAGGACTCCCCCCAGACGTGGGTGCCGCGGGGGACGCGCCCGCGGCGCGCCCCCTCGCCAGGTCTCCCAGATGGGGGCCGAGCAGACGGGGTCGGAGGGTCGTGCCGCATCGCCGATCGCATTGGCGATGCGGCTCGACGTGACGCCCGATTTTCTCCACGCCGCCGCCGCCGATGCACTGCCGACGTCACCGATGCATCGCCGATGCATCGCCGGTGCAGACGTGGGTGCCTGGGGGAGACGCCCTCGCGGTGCGCCGGAGCTGCTTTGCAGAGCCTGAAGGGTACCCGAAGGAGCCTCGGCCACGCGTAACTGTGACCTTTCGCAGGAGTGATCTCTCGCGCGGGTCCACAGGCAGGTCTCATTTCGATTCCTCC